CAGCCCATGGTTCGGCCGAACCAGGGGGTTCGGCCAAACCCCCATCTCCACCGTTGAGGCCAGGGTTTGGCATGGACGTCCAAGATTGCACCCCAATGACGGTTGGAGGGTACTTCAGACAATTCCTCTTCCACAACCGTCATACCTGCCTCTATATAAGGAGCTCACCTTCTCACTTCACTCACACACCTCAAGCAAGAGCTATCTCATTCCTCTCAAGTTTAGTTTAGTAGTATCTAGCTAGTGGAATAGAATTAGAGTAGGAATCAGGAGTTCGGAAGCCTTCGGAAGAGTTCGGGTATGGCTCTAGTAGCAATTACTCTATGGCAAGGGTAGAGTGACACACAAGCATTACTACTCATCCTCATAATATATTATCTGAGCTAAATGGAAAGAAAAGAGAAAGAAAATCTATTCCTATACTTCTAGTATATATACATTCTAGTTATCTGATATATTAGCTAATACCCTCTATCCGATGACCTCCTGGTACTTCGAGAAGCCACCCCTGATTGCCGAATTCCTTACGACAGCCCATCATGACCATACAACTGGGGCTAAATACGGAGGAATACCCTCCCCAGGGAATTAACTTAGCATTATATACACACGCAGAGGAATACCCGTATTGAGCTGTCACCAAAGCATCTCCCAGATAAGCTAACAGCATATTCAGTATAACATGAACATAATGTAAGGTTGGCATTCATATACTTGGAAAATATTCCAATACCATAAATGTATATAGAAGAATATTCTAATAATATTACAAAGCTTACAAAAGAGAAAAGGAAAGCTACTATAGCCATACCCGAACTCTTCCGAAGGCTCTCAGACTCCTGATCTCTACTCTATTCCTATTCCACTAGCTTGATACTACTAAACTAAACTTGAGAGAATATGAGAGAGCTTGCTTGAGGTGTGTGAGTGAAGTGAGAAGGTGAGGAGTTTATCTAGCCTCCCAATGACGGTTGTAACGGTTGGAATAGTCGGAAATACCCTCCAACCGTCATTGGGAGCTAATCCACACCGTCCAGAAGAAGCCCTGCATCCAACGGCGACGAGGGCCCTGGTTCGGCCGAACCTGGGGCTGGCCCAACTAGCCCATGGTTTGGCTGGTGGCCTCCTCTGTTGTTCTTCTCTACAGACTTGTGAATTTTGGCCCAGTTTGTCATGTCAATAATTCTAAGTTATTGGCTCATTCATACATAAGTCTGATTCTCGACATTTTCTGATTGATTTATCGTCTATGTTGATGTCAATTCTCCTCCACTTTATGATCATTCTCAACAAAAGGTTAGTAAACCTAATACTAGTGGAATATTATTATTCTAACATAAATATGCATTGCAAGCATAACTAGTTCTCCTCTATTTTGGTAATATTGACGGTCGAAACTATTCGATAATGACCGTCAACACTCCCGTCGCCTCGCTCTGAACCCTACCACCCAAATTCCGGCTGTAGCCACCGTCGGCTGCGCGTCACCCACGTCTCGCCACCAATCCCGCTCTACGTGCGTCACTTCGTGTCGCGTCGCCGTCGAATCGCCACCAGTGCATGACGCCAAGTCTTCACGTCGCCGTCCCCTCCTCCCAGGAATCCCATGTCTTCTCTTCCGACCGCCGAGGAGTATCTCCAGTAGCAAGCCGAGTATGAAGACTTCTAAATGTTTCGTGCCTAGCCCAAACCTCGCCTGTGGAATAAGTTAGTTGCCTAGGTTAGTTGCCTAGTGCTTAGTTGTTTAGTCGCTTAGTCTTTCCGCGCTGTTCGCTTCTGCGCCGTCGTTTTTATGGTTATTTCTGTAATGATTGTGTTGTTTATCTATGGGCCTGTCCATGATGACAACTTATGTAAGAACTACTACCCGGTGATGTAATAAAGTAGTTTACTTTGATTCATTTATTCTGTGTGTACCAGCTAGTGTATCCTGGGACTGGTACTATATTAAAGGTAATGCATAACACTCCGGTGTAAGTTAGCTGTGTTTATGGCTAACGAATGTCAGGCGTTATAATTTTTTGTCAAAATTTTTGGGATCTAAACACACCCATAATTTAGATGTTATAGCTGCTGAATTGTTTAACAGAAAAAATTCTTTTCTAACTAATAAAGTATGATAATAGGAGAAAAAAATATGTGCAAAAATATGAAGACATTGAGAGAAGAAGAGGTGAAAGTAACGTGAGTATGTACTATCCTTAAAACAAACATACATACATATAGTAATACGTACGGCTCAAGGTGAAAAAAAAAACGTTCGTACATACATATAGTAATATACGTACACGCCCAAGGTGGACCTCGTATGGGGTTAGGCAGTTTGTTTTCTTTTGATAAATCTAATGGTGGTAAATAATGGATCCACCAAATTTAATGAAAAGCAATAGCTAGAGAATTTTTAGAAAATTCTCTAATTTATTATAATACTACGTGGCGGTTTGGAAACGTTTGTAGTGTATCCTGGGACTGGTACTATATCACAGGTAATGCATAACACCCCTATGTAAATTAGTTGTGTTTATGGCTAACGAATGTCGGGGCGTTACAATTTTTGGCCAAAATTTTTGGTATCTAAACACACCCATAATTTAGATGTTATTGCTGCTGAATTGTTTAACAGAAAAAATTCTTTTCTAACTAACAAAGTATGATAATAGGAGAAGAAATATGTGCAAAAATATGAAGACATTAAGAGAAGAAGAGGTGGAAGTAACGTGCGTACGTACTATCCTTAAAGCAAACGTACATACATATATAGTAATATACGTACAGGCCGGCTCAAGGTGGAAAAAAACCGTTCGTACATACTATATAATATACTTACACGCCCAAGGTGGACCTGGTCTGGGGTCAGGCAGTTTTTCTTTTGATAAATCTAATAGTGGTAAATAATGGATCCACCTAATTTAATGAAAATTAATGGCTAGAGAATTTTTAGAAAATTCTCTAATTTATTATAGTGCCACGTGGCGGTGTAGGAACATTTGTAGGATGACACGTGGCGACTTAGGAGCGTTTGTAGGAAATATAATGGACTTTTAGTATATAATAGATAATAGATAGATAGATAGATAGATAGATAGATAGATAGATAGATAGATGATAGATAGAGAAACATGTTAATTACATGAGCATTGCTCTAGTCCTTCTTTTTTACCACAAGGTACTAGTACCGTGAGGTACTGAAATCCCGTCCGTTGATGATGGCAGATCGAACGGTCGCGATTACATGGTACCTCGGGGTACTAGCTTGGTCATGGGGTGGCAATCGCGAGTGAGCCATGGTGAAAGGGTATAATCATATTTTCTCGTTTGGAAGGATGTTTGGATCGGTGGTTTGTTTGGGGAAGTGCCGCAGAGTAGCAAAACCCTAGGCTTCCTCCTGATGGTGGCGCGTGGCGGACAATACGACGGCGACGGCTATGGCGGCGGCATCAGTTGGTCTCGACGCTGGCGTCTTCCACTTGTCCCGTCATTTTCCCCTTCGTGGCGGTGCCTCATCCATTCCTCTCGACACCGCTACTCCTGCGACCATGCGGCGGATAGGGTCCTGGAGATCCACTGCAGCCACAGCCCTTGCAACGGCGTCGAGACGACTCCTGCGACTGCGACGATGACTCCTGCGGCTGCGGCTGCGACTACTCCTGCGACCGCAGCGATAACTCCTGCAGCGCTGGTGAGGACACCTGTGGGGGCCACGCTTCCAGAACGATTGAGGATCTGCATCTGCCTGCGGCCGTGCGGCCGTGCGGCGGATAGGGTCGACCTTCACCTCGACTTTTTTCTCCCGTGCAGTGCAGCGGCGCTAGATGCAGGAGAAGGGAAAGCGAGAGATATCGAGGCGCGCACGCTATTTGGACCACACGCGATAGCTCCCCATCGTACCCCTCAGCAATCAACGGCCGGATGGAGACTGGTGCCTCATGGTACCAGTACCGCGTGCTACAAAAGTGAGGACGGGAGAAAAACTCTAATTACGTATATTGTAATTATAGTGTGTAATATAATTATATCTCAAATATAAAATATATTGTAATTATAGTGTGTAATATAATTATATCTTAAATATTTTATATTTGGAAGTTTTATGACGTGTTTTGAGCTGATAGCCCACGCACCGGGACTGTTATCTGCCAACCCACGAGGTCACAGCTCATCTGTAGTCTTGTTTTTACCTGTTCAGACAGTCACGTGATCCATTCATCCAAGGTAGTAGGAAGATAAATTCTCCATCCCTCCCATCAAATATCAATATAATCTTAACACATTCAAATTCATAGTATTACAATGTATCATATCTAATATTGTTGAGTTTTTATAAGATGGAAAGAGTACAAGTGAGATAGACGAGATAATATAGACTAGCCTATTGAAAACTTTTACTTTGCCGTACATGTAGTATTAGTTTTTTATTGAAAATAATTGAAGCTAAGCATTGACCAAATTTCTCTCGAGATGTTACGTATAAGGATCCCATATAATCTAGGAGTTCTTGCTAATTAACTACTCCCTCATTAATAGAATATAAAAAGTTTTAGGATTGGACACGGTTATTAAGAAAATAGATAGAAGTGAGTGGTAGAGGGTTATAATTAGATGAGTAGTGAAGATAGGTGGAAAAAGTGAACGGTGGAGGGTTGTGATTGGTTGGGAAGAGAATGTTGATCGAGAAGTTATTATATTTTGGGACAGATCCTGAGGGCTATTTTGGGACGGAGGAAGTATAGTATTCCTCTGCAACAGTATATTGATGAACAGTGTTTGGCAATTTGGACCACTGCGTTTTGATGCACGGTGATTAATACTACTACTGCTAAAGTTAATTTCAGTTATACTGGCGGTTGCAGGTGATCTCCATTTTCGTCATGTCACACGCATGCAGGCACCACACCAACATGATCAAATCCAATTTCCCAATCTCCATTCTTGATTGGGAGTAAGCAGTCCACTCCAACAGACACAATTTTATACATTCACACACAGTGCTTCGTTGTTTTATATACATATAGTTGCAAATATCCCAGTTTCTTCCACACTATTGCTTGTCAACCCCAGTAGTGCTACCAATGGCGTCGGCTTTGTTCCTTTGGCTTTCATGGCTTGTGCTCTCCCTCCTCTCCATCTACCTCCTCGATCTCCTCGCACACTCCCGCCGCCGCCTCCCGCCGGGACCCCGCCCTCTCCCGCTCATCGGCAGCCTCCACCTGCTCGGCGACCAGCCACACCGCTCGCTCGCCGGCCTCGCCAAGACGTACGGCCCGCTCATGTCGCTCCGCCTGGGCGCGGTCACCACGGTGGTCGTCTCCTCGCCGGACGTCGCCCGCGAGTTCCTGCAGAAGCACGACGCCGTCTTCGCCACCCGGTCCGCCCCCGACGCCGCCGGTGACCACACAAGGAACTCCGTCCCGTGGCTTCCCCCGGGGCCGCGGTGGCGCGAGCTCCGCAAGATCATGGCGACGGAGCTGTTAGCGACGCACCGGCTCGATGCGCTCCACGAGCTCCGGCAGGAGAAGGTGTCGGAGCTGGTGGACCACGTCGCGAGGCTGGCGCGCGACGGCGCGGCGGTGGACGTCGGCCGCGTGGCGTTCACCACCAGCCTGAACCTCCTCTCGCGCACCATCTTCTCGCGCGACCTGACCAGCCTCGACGACCGTGGCGCGTCCAAGGAGTTCCAGCAGGTGGTCACGGACATCATGGGGGCGGCCGGAAGCCCCAACCTGTCGGACTTCTTCCCGGCGCTCGCCGCCGCCGACCTGCAGGGCTGGCGCCGGCGGCTGGCCGGGCTGTTCGAGCGGCTGCACCGGGTGTTCGACGCAGAGATCGAGCATCGCAGGCGTGTCGCCGGAGAGGAGCATGGGAAGGTGAAGGACGACTTTCTGAGGGTGCTCCTGAGGCTCGCCGCCCGCGACGACGACACGGCGGGGCTCGACGACGACACGCTCCGGTCAGTTTTCACGGTAAGGACATGCTCCCTCTGACCAAAATATAAAAACCTCGATTTTCTAGTGAATCTGAATAATCTATCCAAAATAATGGTAAATGTCTTGTAGAATTTTAGGTTCTTATATTTTACCACGAAGAGAGGGTTCAGCTTTTTCACATGCTGAAACGTCTAGCGAGTTCCATTGTAGCTACTGTAGGTAAACAGAAACAGCAATAGTTAAATTAGGTTTGCTGTCAATGTCGCATACTTCCGTTTTTTAACCCATATTGTTGTTAACTTATCGTTGTTGAATTTAGTTCCACGTCGGTAATTGATAATGGGATAGCACAACTTAAAAAGTGAGGGCAGTAATTATCCAAGACTAGTCTCACTAGTACTAGAGAAACAATTTTCCTGAATGAGCTATTTAGTTTACAGACGAACCCTTAAGAAGCCTGTAGGTGAAAATCGCATGCCAAAATAAACCGATTTTCTTATTTTTGCATGCGGGCATTGTTGGCCTCTTAAAAATATACTTACAAGTCAATCCTTCATCCTCTTTTCCCTCCTCTACACTTCAAAATTCAAAATTTCATCCTCTTTTTCCTCCTCAACACTTCAAAATTCAAAATTTCACCTTGCGGGCCTCTTGAAAACATGCCTACAAGTCTATCCTTCCTCCACTTATCCCTCCTCGACACCTCAAAATTTTATCTCATCCACCCATCCACGTCATTATCCTTTCTATCCTCTCTCTCACTCTCTATCCTCTTCCACTCTCTCACCTCTCTCTCCCGCGGCCGGCGTGGGCGCGGCCAGCGGCACCGCGCGGCTTGGCGGCGTCCTTAGCGGCAGCGACCGAGAGCGGTGAGCTCGGCAGCGTGTGCGCGCCGCTGCGGACGACCGCCCCTCACCTGAATCCAGTAGAGGCCGCTGCCCCACGCCCCGATCTGGCGGCGACGGTCGTCCCCCGCCCGGATCCGAAGGCGGTGGCGGCCTCAGCGGCATGCGCGCGGCGGCGACCGAGAGCGGCGGGTTCAGCGGCGCGTGCGCGCAGCGGCGGCGGTGGTGGCGGGCGGGCAGGCTCGGACGGTGGGGAGGCACCGGATCCGGCTACCGCGACGGCGACGGCGACGATGACGATGACGGAGACCGCGATGGCGACGACGACGGCGACCGTGAGGAGGGTTTTCTTTTTTTGGATATTTTTTTTGGTTTTTTATTTTTGCGTGCGGGCGACATAACCACCCCGCACGCGAAAATCGCGTGCGGGTGCGCCACCCACACGTAAAAATAGTGATTTTAAAGACACTTGGTTCCAGACAGTTGGAAGATCCGCACGCGAAAATCACTTTTGACCGCACAGAAGAATCATTTCTCTACTAGTGTGTTTAGGGCTGTATAGGTCCAGGACCTAAAGTTGTGACTCCGGTTGGTCCTATGGTAGATCAGGCCCAATGTGACCTGGATGGCCCACGGTTGGTGGGCCAGGCTACGCACTCTAATAAGTGGTATCATAGCTCAGGTTTGGAATCCGCAATGATTTCTATGGGTCACATGGGTTGATGTGACGGAAAAGATTGTTGACAAAAGTATGATATTTACACAAATATCAGATGGCTACCTCCTCGTGTGCAAAGTAGAGTTTTCACAAAGTTTGGAATCCGCAATGATTTCTATGGGTCACATGGGTTGATTGACGGAAGAGATTATTGACAAAAGTATGATATTTACACAAATATCGGACGGCTACCTCCTCATGTGCAAAGTAGAGCTTTCACACGATTATTACGCGGGTAATGCTGCAGGTGGCTTATCTATTCTATTTTCCTTTCTCTTCTCTCTCTTTTAACCACTTTTTAAAAAAAAATTAGACAATTTTTCCTTCTAAATTAATTATACGATTCATGATTCAATTTCATCATTACGTTCGTCATAACTAAATCTTTATAAATTGATTCTGCTTGATTATATTTATGAGAAAATATATAATATGATTACAGATCTAATTTAAACATTTTTATATTATACACGAAACAATGAGATGTAAATGTTGGAATATTAGAAAATACTCAATGAAACATTCAAAGTACAATACGTGCAATATTTCTGAATAAATAAGTAAAACATTAGAAAATAATGAAACATCCGATGACACTACATGCACCATTAACAAATAAACTATTGAAACATCACAAAATAATTATTGAAACATTAAAAAACACACCCGGTGTGACATTTAAAATAGATCCATTATAACACAAAACTTAAAAGATGCAGCATAGTCAAATTCTAATTGTAACATTTATTTCTCACACGTCAAACTTTTGTTGGAGAAAAGAACGGTACAGGTACAACTGCACTGAACCCGTCCCCCAATTTCTTCTTGTAAATACATATAGTTGCAAATATCCCAGTTTCTTCCCCAGTACTGCAATGGCGGCTTTGTTTCTTTGGCTTTCATGGCTTGTGCTCTCTCCCTCCTCTCCGTCTACCTCCTCGACCTCCTCGCACAATCCCGCCGCCGCCTCCCGCCGGGACCCCACCCTCTCCCGCTCATCGGCAGCCTCCACTTGCTCGGCGACCAGCCACACCGCTCGCTCGCCGGCCTCGCCAAGACGTATGGCCCGCTCATGTCGCTCCGCCTGGGCGCGGTCACCACGGTGGTCGTCTCCTCGCCGGACGTCGCACGCGAGTTCCTGCAGAAGCACGACGCCGTCTTCGCCACCCGGTCCGCCCCCGACGCCTCCGGTGACCACGCCAGGAACTCCGTCGCCTTGCTGCCCAACTCGCCGCGGTGGCGCGAGCTCCGCAAGATCATGGCGACGGAGCTGTTCTCAACGAGCCGGCTCGACGCGCTCCATGAGCTCCGGCAGGAGAAGGTGGTGGAGCTGGTGGACCACGTCGCGCGGCTGGCGCGCGAGGGCGCGGCGGTGGACGTCGGCCGCGTGGCGTTCACCACGAGCCTGAACCTCCTCTCCCACACCATCTTCTCACGCGACCTGACCAGCCTCGACGACCATGGCGCGTCCAAGGAGTTCCAGCAGGTGGTCACGGACATCATGGGGGCAGCCGGAAGCCCCAACCTATCGGACTTCTTCCCGGCGCTCGCCGCCGCCGACCTGCAGGGCTGGCGCCGGCGGCTGGCCGGGCTGTTCGAGCGGCTGCGCCGGGTGTTCGACGCAGAGATCGAACATCGCAGGCGTGTCGTCGGAAAGGAGCATGGGAAGGTGAAGGACGACTTTCTGAGGGTGCTCCTGAGGCTCGCCGCGCGCGATGACGACACGGCAGGCCTCCACGACGACGCGCTCCAGTCAATTTTCACGGTAAGGACATACTCCCTCCGTCCCATAAAACCCCATTCCTACCATCTGTGGCGAATCCAGGCCTATTTCGTGGAGTCGACTGACCCACAACTTTTTAAAAAACATCGTATAAACTTTGATTTTCATGTATAAATTCAAAAGAATTTAGAGAAATGACCCCACTTAAATACGAATCATTAGTAATTAACCCAGAAGCTTAAATTTTTAGCTCCGCCACTACCTACCATCTCAAGAAGAGATTAGTGAAGAGTAAAAAATTAACCAAAATACGTCTCATTATTGAAAAAAGTAGTAATGTTGATGGTAGATAAAGGGTATTTAAGGGAGAAAATTTCTCGTCTTATGTGCCGAGGTTAGATAGAATATTAGAAGTTGGTTTTTTTGAATAAAATTCAAATTTCAGAAGTTGAGTTATTTTAATGGAGGAAGTACATGGTATTTCCTCTGTCCAAAATATAAAAGCCTCGATTTTTTTAGTGAATCTAAATAATCTATCGAAATTAATGGTAAATGTCTCATCGAATTTTATGACGAAGAGGGTGTTCAGCTTTTTATGTGCTGAAACGTCTGGCGAGTTCCATTATAGCTAGTGTAGGCAACCACAAACAGCAATAGTTAAATTAGGTTTGCTGTCGATGTCGCATACTCCGTTCGGTTTTATTTTAATTGACATTTTGGACAATGATACGGTCTACAAAGATAATATATCTTTGACCTTATTTTTCTATTATAATATATACAATAAATAAATGCATGTATAATTTTATTATAGTGTTTTGAAAGACAAATCTATATATGTTGTTCTAGTTTTTTTAAACAAAATATTTTTAAAGTTATTGATGGTCAAAGTTATAAAAGTTTGACCTCAACCTTGTCCAAAGCGTCAATTATTATAGAATCGGAGGGAATACTCGTTCCTTTTTTAGCCGATACTGTTGTTAACTTATTATTGGGTTTAGTCCCGCATCGATAATTAATGATGATGAAGCATAACATAAAAGATAGGGGGTAGTCCTTACCTATCAGATAGTCTTTTGGGCTGTGTAGGTCCAGAACTTAAAGTTATGGCTTTGATTGGGTCTGTGGTGGAACAGGACGATCATACATCACCAGTCCTTAACTTTTTCAAATCGTTCAATTTACATCCCTTAGTTCAACATCTTAGTTCTAAGAAATACGCATGTAGCTCGGAAATCTTAATTCGTTATCTCTTCAATATTATAGACTATAGGAGATAGCTTAGAGCTTAAACACAATCATTTATACAAAGCATATAATGGGCCTGTTCGGCTGCCATTCTGGCGGCAGCGCTGCGACTGCAGCTCTTGCTTAGTGCGGCTGCAGCTGTGCTGCTTGCTGCAGCAGCTAGCTGTGTGCAGCTGCGAAAAATGGCAGCCGAACAGGCCCAATATCAATAGCATGTGCTAATGCACGGGTTAAGTTAGTGATTAGTGCTGAATAATTCATCACCTGAATGCTCTCTCATAATTAAGAGTGTGCTATATATTAATATCTCAAAGTGGTTTTTGTTGAAGGATTTGTTTGCTGCTGGAAGTGACACAAGCTCTAGCACTGTAGAATGGGCGATGGCAGAATTGCTTAGAAACCCATTACCAATGGCTAAAGCATGCGATGAACTGCAACGAGTTATTGGATCCACAAGAAGAATTGAAGAATCTGATATTGGTCGACTGCCCTATTTGCAAGCTGTCATCAAAGAAACATTTCGATTGCATCCACCTGTTCCATTTTTATTACCACGTCAAGCTACAACAACAATTCAAATATTGGGCTATACAATACCTAAAGGTGCAAAAGTGTTTATAAATGTCTGGGCTATGGGTCGAGATAAAGACATATGGCCAGAGGCAGAGAAGTTTATGCCGGAGAGATTTCTAGAAAGGGCAACTGACTTTAAAGGTGCGGATTTTGAGCTCATTCCATTCGGAGCTGGAAGACGGATCTGCCCTGGATTGCCATTAGCTGTTAGGATGGTCCATGTGGTTCTTGCATCACTACTAATTAATTTCAAGTGGAGACTCCCAGTCAAGGTCGAAAGAGATGGAGTTAATATGACAGAAAAGTTTGGTGTAACTCTAGCAAAAGCCATTCCTCTATGTGCTATGGCCACATCAACTTGAGTTAGAAGCCAGGCAGCCACTTCACTGGACTGCTCAAAAACATTGTATCAGGTATGACAATATTTTGCTGTCCAGTGGTCTCTTTTACCAATCATGATGGAAACGGATTGTCAGGTTTCTCTGCAGTTGCTTCAGTCCAAGGAGAAGGATAGGTCTGATTTGGCATATGTTATCAATGCAGTCAAGGATCTTATGGGCGGTGACAGGGAAATTCTCTTTAGTAAAGTCTGTCGTAGTCAAAACCGGGTTAGCCAATGTTTAGCGAATAAAGCTCGGTGTGAATCTCTGTCAGGCCTGTGGCCGGATAATAGTTGTAATTTCATTTCATGGTTAGCGAATAAAGCTCGGTGTGAGTCTCTGTCAGGCCTGTGTTTGAGTAATATAGATCCTTTTCCCCGAAAAAAAAATGTATGGCAATATTAGATGATTAATGTGGAATATTGTAATAAATCATTACGTGTATTTGTGGGGATATATTGTTCCAATAGGATAAATAAGCTGAGATTTGGATATTTACTTTTTCTTCCACTTGCTAGGAAAGCAAAAAACAAAAACCACAAGAAGATGAACACGACATTAAACTAATTGTATAAGTGGAACGACACGGCAAAAGAAGGCCAACATATAAACTATACAGTGTAGCTCTGAATATTATTTTTTACAAGATTAACAGGCAGCTCTGAATATTTTTCGAGATTAAAGTGTGCACATAGTCCTTAAACTTATTCAACATTCTAATCTATCTCCCCGTACTCTTAAAAAACGGATTTACGTATCACAACTTGTTAAAATGCATCATTCCGTTTTGAATTGCCATAACTTCTCTGCGATTCTACGTGGGGTTGAGATGACATGCCACACAAACACTAAAGTGGTATCATCACTAAGTCTACACTAACCGACAAATAAGACCCGCCTAGAAAATTTCTTTTTATTTTTTTCCTTCTATGTTTTTTCCTTTCTTTTTCATCTCCTTTTTCTCTCTTCAGCTGCAGCCGCCACCACCGCCACCAACCTCACCATCCTTCCTTCTCCTAGGGTGAGGAAATCCAAGTGTGAGGAAGCCCATGTTATGCCCACCACCGCAAAGCTCCACACCCCCGCCACCACAAAGCACGGCCTCACCGATTATGTCGCTAGTTGTGATAATGAAGCCCACATTCAAGATAACAAGTGGCCACCTAGCTGAGCTCGAGAATGTTGGCCCTCGGTGCGCGCTCGGTTGATTGGCATAAGTCCGTCGACCTCTGCTGCCTCAGCGTACTCGGCTTGGTGCCTAACGAGCATCTCCTGCTCCAGTTTGTCTATCTCCTCGGTCGTCATGGCAACCTTCGACTGTAGCCACCAGAGCTCATCATGCCCGCTGCCTATCTCACCATTGCCGAACACGAAAGTGTAGAAACCCTAGCTCAACCGCCAGAGAGAAATTGCTAAATCTGTCTGTACCGTTGGCCTCCTCCAAAACTAAAGGTACAATCACTTTCTTTATAACACTTCCACCGTTTCCCATCTCCTTCCCATTGTAACTGTTGTTGAATCTCACCTAATCATCGCGAGGCCGTGTCAGGGGGCTCCATGCATGAATATTTTCCATGTCACTCGTCCATGTCAGCGCCGGAGACAAGTCAGACACGTGGGTCACCCTGTATTTCTCAGTGATTTTGCAAAAGCGCCCCACTCTTATTCACATTTTGTTTTTTTTTCTCACGATGAATCAGTCACCTGAGGAATTGAGGGCAAAGGTGAGGTGGAGTGGTTGCCTGCCTGAGGAATCAACAACGAAGTAAAGGACGATGGCAACTTGGCGATGCCTTGAAAGTGGACAACGGAAATATCGCTCCACTGAGTGGCGTTGACGTGGCCAATGTGGTGGTGTCACATATAGCCTACAAGCAGCCAGTAGGCGCACGCATGGGCGGGGATTACCAGGAGGCCGGTGGGGAGGTGCCCGGTAGATGAAACTGACCAGGCGGCTGCGTGGGGCGTGCTTCAATGTGCTTTTGCTGAACTAGTGGTCGGAGTCGAATTGATCGAACAGGCAATCTCTGAATCTTCTTTTGATTTGCGAAGTAGGCATTGGCCAGAATCTTTTTTTATTTATTCCTAATTAATACACGAATCATAATTACCTCTAAATTTATTCCTAGTTTTGAATAAACTAGCAGTATATACATATTTCTAGATGGTTAATTCTATTTATTTTGAAAGATACTTTTAACACCACAAAAAATTACTTCTATTTTTCTAGAGAGTTACTTCATCTACCAATATAGCTACTTCTGAAACTGTGAAGAATTACTTTTAATACCGTGAAAAGTTATTTCGATTCTTCTAGATTTAGAGTGAAGAGTTAGTTCTATTTTTATTTTTCTTGATTCAGTTATTTTTCTTTAGTAATGTACTTCTAATACTGTAATTATTTTCTTAATTCTATAATTATTTTCTTAGAGTTATTTGTCCTTTGCTCTATAGGTACTTTTAATATCATCAACATTAATTATTTTCTTAATACTGTAATTATTTTCTTAGAGTTATTTTTCCCTAGGTATTTCTAATATCGTCAACGGTTACTACTATTCTCTTAGAGTTACTTTCCTATATTATGAAAATATTTTTTTCAAAAAAAATATATTTTAAAATAAAGATAATAATTGCATTTACTCGTGAATGTTGTCAACATTGTACTTCACAAAGTTTCTTATTTCAAAATTGTCCTTATTTTCAATGAAAAGAAGTAAATTACTTTTGAATGTTTAAATATATTTAACATTGAACTCGTTTTGTCATATATTTTGAATGGAGAGCTATACTTTAAATGGATTTTACAATAATACACGATTTAAAAATTATAAATCATGGAAAGTTGAAGGAAGCCATAAAAGAAAGGAGCTAGTGAATTGGTTGGTGTTAGGGCATGTACAACCTAAGGCACGGGTAGTAGTAGCCTCATGTGGGCCATACCACCTAGGCTACACAAAGGAATCTCTGTCTCCAATGGAGGATACACTCAAATAGGTCCTATAAAATCAAAGGGTACTATAGGAAGATATTACATCCCACAATGGGTGTTCTAGCCCACAAAACCACCAGTGTTGTTTTACTCTCCTAATTTTATTCGGCGATGCCTCCGACTCATCTATTTCCACCTCTTTCTCGTCGCCTCTCCACCTGCCCCAGAACGCCGCCTCTGACTTCGTCGGTTCGCCCCACCGCGCCACCGATGACTTCGCCACACTGCGCCACCGCTGACTCCGCCACACCGCGTCGCCCACAAGCTTCCGCCGCTCTCTCTCTCCCTCTCTCTTTCAAAGTGTGGGAGCAGCGGCGGCGAGGCCCACGAGGAGCACGAGCAGGAGGAGGACGCGGCGGCCGCAGCAGCGGCGGCGAGGCCCACAAGGAGCACAAGCAAGAGGTGGCGGAGTGAGATCCAGTCGGTCTTCTTCTCCAAGTCGTCACCGTCTCTCTCTCCCTTCGCCCGTCATCGCCGGATCTGGTAGGTCACGCCTCCTACTCCCCACCGTGCTACCGCCAACTCCGCCCCAACACGCCGCTGAGGGTGAAAGGGGAAACTACCACTGCGAGAGCGGGACCACAAGCGCAAGGCTTCGCCACATCATCACCCAACGCGAAGCCCCAAGCTGTGGCTTGACGAAAAGTAGTCGAGGAGCACGTCCCAAGGAGAGGAGGAGGCGAAAAGAAGTCAAGGAGCACGTCCCTCACAAAGACGTCGTGGCTCTACGCTGGCCGCTGGGGAACACCTCCAGCTCGAAAAGGTACGGCATTTGAACGGCGTCGCCAGGGATAGGCCCTTGGCCCCATATCCCCATCACATAAATAGGCATCCTGTGGAAGGTTAGTAGATTGTTGGTGTTAGCCCCATGCCCCATCACATAAATAGGCATCCTGTTCCACACTAGAGCTTCTCGATACAGAAGATCACATGTGCCCGGTACAACTAAGAAAATAGCTATAGGCCGTGTTTAGTTTCATTTAAAAAAAATAAAAATTTAAAGTATACTGACACATCAAATGTAATTAGACTCAAGATGTGCAATTGATTTTATTTTCACCATGCATACGTCAAATATTTAATGTGACAGAAAAGTTAAAAATTTAAAGGGAACTAATCACAGCCATAATAACAAAAGCCATACTCTCTGTATTAAAGATCCAACAGGTTCAGAGAACACGCAAGCTCAGAACTACACATCACCAAAATTGGAGCAAGTTTGGGGGTACATATCCGCTCATACAGTGGAGGATTTATTTCTCGATTCTACGAGCTTTTTAACTAGAGTTCGACCGGGAAGTCAATTACGGATAGAAATGAGCATCCTGTCTTCACCATCAAGTTTAGTAGGGCTCCACGGGTGCGCGGAACTTGGCACCAGCGTAGACAGCAGCCGCACCAAGCTCCTCCTCAATCCTAAGAAGCTGTTGAAATAAGAAATAGCATGAATTAGTATAATAATTTTACCCCTTTTTAATGACTAGCTTAAGCATATGCATGGATTCGTTAACGCCTGAACAAAAATATGCATGAATTAGTGGACAGTATTAACTGAACTACCCATTAACGCATGAAAGCATCTGAGAACAAAAAAAATCATGCTTGGGCTAAAGTAATCATTCAAGTCTTTCAGATCTAAACAGCACGTAAGAAATGCAGATAGAGGTTGGCTGGGTCAGCTGATTGGTTTTATACGGTACAAAATATGAAAAACTACTTGCCTGGTTGTATTTGGCAAGGCGCTCTGATCGGCAGGGTGCTCCAGTCTTGATCTGACCCTGTTTCAGAATGACAAAGATATATTCAGCCCTCACATTCAGTACAAGAGTAACAACTAATACAGGATGCCGTAAAGTTCACTACAGTGAATGTAGAGCACAGAATCTTACCGTGGCCAAACCAACAGCCAAATCAGCAATGAAGGTATCCTCAGTCTCACCACTGTGGCAATGAAACACAAGTCAATATACAAATGGTTGGTAGTCAGACCAGGTCCACCAGGAATAAAGACAGGTAAGCATATCAGTATACCTCCTGTGGCTGGTCATCACACCCCAGCCAGCACGCTTTGACATCTTCACGGCCTCAATACTCTCAGTGACAGATCCAATTTGGTTAACCTGTTGAAAGACAAGGGTGATATATTCGCACATGGAAGATAAACTATTAAACGTGAAGGAAAGAATCAATAGAACCATACCTTCAGCAGAAGAGCATTGCATGACTTCTCCTGGATTGCCTTTGCCACCCTCTGCATAACATATATTAATATTAATTATCAACCACACTGAAAGAGAGATCATATTTAGAAGTAATAGAAAACTATGCACTCACTGTTGGGTTGGTGACAAGGAGGTCATCACCGACAATCTGCACTTGCTCTCCAATTTCAGCGGTCATCTTAGCATAGTGTTCCCAGTCATCCTGGTCAAACGGATCCTCAATCGAGACAATGGGGTATTCACTGACAAATGACTTGTATACATTCTTCAGGCTATCACCAGATATCTTTTGTGAACCATCATTGTTCTACAACAAAAAGAATCACAAATGTTCCCAATAAGTTCACAGCATTATATACATCTACATGATATCAAACAGTGAGCCAATCCCTACTATCAAAAATGAAACAGATTGCCACCTACCTCCTCCTTGAAGTTAAGGTCATAGGTTTTGTCCTTGTCATTGTAGAATTCCGAAGCAGCAACATCCATTCCAATGACAACCTACCATATCAGGTTGCAAAAAAAGTCTCAAGCCTCAGTCAATCAAAAACATTAACTTATGCAGAAAGATAAACAATAAATTAATCAAAGTACACAAACCTTGCCAGTGTATCCAGCCTTTTCAATTGCAGTCTTCAAGAGCTCAAGACCCTCCTTGTTTTCCTGCAATATCACACAACACAAACGATTCAAACCACATGCTAAGTATATTCATTTAGATTTCTAATTACGGATTAGCTTCATACATCAAAACAGAAGTTATCTCAGCATCTAACATCAAGCAAATACAAAGCAAAACAGGGAAACATAATTGAAGTGAAGCACTTCACATGGATCAACAGCATAGTGGAAAGAAAGATAATTGAATTCACTGCTGCAGGCATAAGTACCTGAATGTTAGGAGCAAAACCACCTTCATCACCAACATTGGTGGCATCCTGACCATACTTCTTCTTGATAACAGACTGTACAGATAAAATTAATTAATTTTCAATGACGTAAGATGGGGAAAAGGTTTAAAATGAAGATGAAAGAATTACCTTCAGGTTGTGGTACACTTCAACACCCATCTTCATGGCCTCCTTGAATGAAGCGGCCCCAGTAGGAAGGATCATGAACTCCTGCAATATAGAGCACATCATTAAATAACTTTATGAGCAACACATAGAATGAGAAAATCTTAGTTCAGATCACTGCCTGCATGGCAAGCTTGTTTCCAGCATGTGATCCACCGTTAATGACGTTGAATGCAGGTACGGGCAAAACCAGTTGCTTGTTTCCAGCAAGGTTGGCAATGTGCTGCAAAACAGAACATATTATCAGTTGGCAAATTCATAAACGAATAGATAAGAGGGCAATAAATTGCACATCTTAACATGCAGCAAACCTGGTACAGAGGAATCTTCTTGATGATAGCTCCAGCTTTGCAAATGGCCAGTGACACAGCCAGGATTGCATTAGCACCAAGCTGCACATATTGATAAAAGACTTAGTAGAATCCACTTACAAATGGTACATCTACAATTTTCATGACTAAGGCCCATGACCAGATGGATTAGATAATACCTTCTGCTTGCACCACCCCCACTCATTTTTGGTTCCATCAAGCTGCTGAACCATGAAGTTATCAAGCTCAGCCTGTGACGTAGGGTCCTGCAGAAGAAATAGAGCATATAATGAATTCTGGATTTAGTCTCAAAATACAACAGAATAGGTGAACCATGAGACAAACCTTGCCAATCAGAGCTGGGGCAATAACCGAGTTCACATTGTCGACAGCCTGAAACAACAGAAAAAAAATGTAAAGAAACAAAAACAACAAAAATAAAACATTGTAACAGGTACCAGAAACAAATTGATTTTTTATAACCCATGAAACAAGTATACATCATGATGCAATAGGACCAGTATAGCAAGTTGACTAATTTATTTAAGCAGTTAAAAGGTGGACAAGTCATAATTGATTTGACTTTGTCTTTTTTTAGTTTAGCCAAGACAATATGACTTTCTCATCTGCCACTAATTATTTGATAGAGAGAACATAGAATCTGAACTCTTGAGTAGTTTAAATTATAGCACAGCAAGGAATGCAACTAGGAACATGCTCCCATGGCTACAAGGAATTTAACCAAAAATAGCATTTGTTTGGATTCAATCTCCGATGCTAAAATAGATATTATCAATAGACTCACTTTAAATGCTAAGAGAGCTTGATGCTGGTGAAGCAATAACATTGAATAAGGGCAGGATGTTTTATGTTAAAAAATCAACTGATCTCTTACATAGTTAAATATCTAAAATAGTTTGCAACATAAAAAGTATCAAAGGCAAACCTTGGAAACACCCTTTCCCAAGTAATCAGATCCACCGTCCCTCAATTCGAGAGCTTCATAGACACCTGTAGATTATGAAAGAGATGAGATTAGCTTCTAGCCAAACCATAATCACATCATTTAAGATAATGTGAAACCATGGTTATGAGCAAACAAAGCAAAAAAAAGAACATCTAAATAACCCACCAGTTGATGCACCACTGGGAACTGCAGCCCTTGCAAAGGTTCCATCTGAGCAGCACACATCGACCTGATGCACATATGTATCATAAATTATACTAGCAACCAAATAACATTTTGTCGCAACAGCATGAAAACAAAATGAAACATTTACTGTATACATGGTAAGAGTTGGATTTAGAACTATCGACCCACATCACAATTACCACACCCACGGTCAACAATGCTTCGACAATAATGAAGCCACGAGCAAGTGCAGGACCCACAGATCTGTACCATGCATCCTTCAAATCCGTAGAAAAATGTATGACAGGTGGGGGAATTCGTGCACGGCGCAGCATCTAATTGATCTAGGCGATAAATCAATATTCGCATTAAATCTAGGCGATACCTTAACCCTCGCTTTAAATCCAACACAACAGTCGTTCACTGTCTCCAGATCCCACCTACCCTCCACAAAACCCCTCGCGAAAAGGGGTTAAACCCTGCACCAAATTCCGCAAACAACCCCGCAAATCGCCTAAACCCCCAAACAACCTCGCCGGAAAAAACGAATCCACGGTCATCGCGACGGCCTCAGCGCCCCCCACCCCGCGAGATCGACGGAATCACCACACCGGAACGGCCCATCTGGCCAGATCGAAGCAGGGAGGCCGCGAGAGGAGGAAGAGATCAGATCGGCAGCGGGAGGGAGAGAGAAAGCTCGTCTCGGCGGCGGTACGTACCTCGACGGTGGGGTTGCCCCTGCTGTCGAAGATCTGGCGCGCCTTGACGGACACGATCGTCGCCGCCATGGGAGGAGGAGGAGAGCTTCTAGAAGGTTCTAGCAGCGGAGGAATGGAGGAAGGAGACGGGGTTGGTGCTAATAAAGTGGGGTTTCGATGGATGCGAGACATTTAGGGCAGACCGCCCATTTATAATGGAGGGTGGTGAGTTGGAAGCAGCCCTAATAGTTACGGTCACGAGGAGGGTCGACGTGCAGTGTCGCTGACAGTGGGCCCGGTTTGGGGTGGGATTGGGGTGTGGTCCCACGTGGAGGTGGGGTTGTCGATGTTCTCGATGCGGAAACTTGTGGGCGTGATGGAAATCGGCGCCGCCCTCGCGTCGCGGCCCGCCGATGGAAGGAGGTCTTCGCCAGCCGTCGGATTTTGAAAAGTTGGGAGAGAGAGGAGAGCACCGGTTTCCTGGCTGGTCTCGTTTTTTTTTTCTTGCTTCTAGGCGGCTGAGGGGGTCGTGCCATTAGTACGGTGGGTCCAGCCAGATGGAAGCGATGGACGCGAAGGCCGAATGAAGCCCTGGCGCATTGGGCAGTTGACAAGGGATTGAGAATTTGAAATACTCAACGGTATATTTCACCGCGCTTTTATCACATGGAGCCAACAACACATTAGACTTATATGTTAGTGATAAAAGCACGGTGCATTGACTATAGAGGATCCTGATTCGTTGACAAAAAGATTTAAGCATTATTAGGGAAACAATTTTAATCATCAAATCAAAAGGAATGTTCCCTTGTCATCTGAAAATTTTGATAAGAAATATTAATGATTCCACGTATACTCAAAAGCTCTTATATTTTGGGACAGAGGGTGAATGTGAATAGTTTTTTTATTCATGTGTTTGGTCATGGCCACATATTTTTTAGACGATCAACAACTAATCAGTGTGTTCGTTTATTAGCGCATGAGTAAATAGCATCATTGCAATCTCCACCTATGCATGCGCCTAACACCGAAGTGACTCCACACCTTTATCGATGAGATTTAGTTTCAAAATGAAGAGGGTTTTGTTGAGTTGGTCTCAGCATGATTTGTGAATAGACCGAAGGGAGAGTTGTTGCGTTTGTTGACAAATGAATCAATATAACATAGGTTCGAATGGTATGTAAAGGTACATCCAACTCCTGTTAGAACAAATAAGACTAGAAAAGATGTCTAATAACAAACCATGGAATGTTTTAAAGAGTGAAGTAAATGAACAGTACATAAACTTAAGCGGGTGTGATATCTAGGTCCTGAACTCTCAAAAATATTTTTAGTGCCTAAACATGTTTTGGGTGTTATGCAAGTTCAAATGGGTTTCCGTAAACTAACGTGGGGTGCCACGTAGCATCTACATATTAGTGCGATCCACATGTCCGTCACAAATTGAACGGTTATACTTCATATCAAAGTGGGTCCAGTAGTTGTAAATTGATGATAACATGGAAACATGTGGCCATGTGGGGAGAAATAGAAATTATTTAATACTCCCTCCATCTACTTTTCTACTTTTGATAGTTATATTTCCAAATCTGAAAAATTTATTTTTGATAGGCATATTTCAATCCAACAACTTATCATCTTAATGGCTTTCTTGAATTTAATGCGTGACTCTTCATTCTTCCACACTAGATTGGCTACATGGGCATCGAGAAATGTAAATATTAATGAATCGTTTGTTTACGAGGAATGACTAGTAGCATATTTAAATGGATGATAAGTAGAATCACTTATTCTTGGTCTATGTGCTAAAATGAAATATGACTATCAAAAGTAGATGGAGGGAGTATAACTTAGTGACATGCAATTATATAGTCATAGGAGATCAGTTTTGCTATATGTTTATCAATAAATTTTTCTCCTAAAACTTTGTAATTGTAAATACAATGCAATCATAGTGTAATTACGTTGTAACCTGCATACAGTTTTCAATGTAACTGTTGACGAAAAAATCGAACACACCAGCCTAGGAGATCTGCTTAGCTCCAGTGCAGGTCCAAAGGTTGATGAGATGCGGACGTGCCAGTCAGTTTGATCCTGCAACTGACAAGATATGTAAACAGCAGATAAAACAGCCGATCGGCTGACAAGCCGATGGAGTAGTTCCAGCCGATAGCGATAGGGTTTAAGTAATCGGCAATATATCCAATGTAGATAATGATATAAAGGCAATCGGTTGATGATGATGTAATAAAATAACAATATAGTCCAGTATAAACCAATCGGCTAGCATTGATATAACAGAATAAGCACTAATCTGAAGGTTAAAGCATACATCGGCTGGAGGTCCGATGTCATGAAATCCACAAGATTAGATTAAACAGTAAAATCTTTGTTGCCATCGGCTAAATCCAACTTATATGTATATGCAATCCTTATGAGCCGATGCAACGTCTAGATAACTCACCGGCTGAAACCCCGATGAAACCCTTATTGGCAATCAAGAAGCAGGCTAGAGATTATGGTTCTAAACACGACTTAGTAGATCAAACTTAACTGATGCAGCACTAAGTATGAAAAGAAACATAATATCTAGGTAATCAAGCCGTTGACTGAGTTTTCAGGGTGGTAGATGTCTAAGCTAATCTAATCTAGCAACGCGATTTAGCCGATACCGGCAGAAACCCTAAAACGAGGAGCAGCCGATAGAGCTAAATTGATATGCTAAGACTAGATTAACAGAGACATATGATAAATAGGTAGGCAAATATATCATCCAAACTAGAGCAATCCAAGAGGTTGAATGTACTGATGCAGCCTTGAACGACGACGACGTAAACGATACAATTGCCTGGGCCGACGGAACATTAGACTTACCTCTTAGCTGGAGATCGAACACCGATGCAGCCCCGCGTCAGGTGCCAAGTCCCGCCGGACGATAAAATAAAGTAGAAAAGGTAAAAGGTGGCGATGCGCCGAATTGTAATGATCGTGAAGATAGTTTACAATGACTCTGAGTGTACATATTTATACCCATGGGTAGATACTAGTCCTTGTAGGACAAGAAAGAAACTTTCCTAAAGATAAAAGGAAAACATAAAGTCCTTATAGGACACTAAACACACTTTCCTAAAGATAAAAAGGAATCTAACAAACTATTCCTAATTAATAGATACAACTAACTTCTTCGGACTCGATCAGTACGTGGCAATCATCATGAAGCACGTCAACTCAATCCGACAATGATTCCAATATCACCTTGCCAGAATCGGCTACATCGGCTTGCCTTCTCCGATTCGGTAACTACCGATGCACACTGTAGCCGATGCGGTTCCGAAGCCGATTCATACCCTGTTTCTGTTATCGATTTCCTCCCAAATCCGCTTCGGCCTTAAATCCAAATCCGATGTAAATTTACCAAATTTGGTCGTTAACAATAACTTGTATGTAATTTGAATCATTTGGTTTGCTTCACGATTTGTACAAACAAGGAAGGAGAAAAATCACAACATGCGCATACATTAAGGGATTCAGTCCCACGACCTCTGCTTTGTGAAAATAGCATGTTATCATGAGATTTTTTTAAATTACATATACAAGTTATACATAGTTACATATAAGTTACAGTATAATTACACTACGATTGTACTATATTTATATTTTTCAATTTTTAAGAATAAATTTGTCGACAATTGTATAAGAGCAGGTACAATAGCAGACTATTCGCCAGCTACAACCATATTTTAATGAGATAAAAGATGAGAGAGAAGAGTAGCGGGCTACATATCTGTAGCCAGCTGCAGCACGGACTCCAAGACGTAATGTGTGTATGACAGGTGGGACCATATACTAATAGTATAGTAAGCATCTATTGTATGAATTGGCTATTACATTGGCTATAGATAAATTGGAGCTAGTAGTGGGCTATACTATTAAACTTGCTCTAAGTAATCCCATAGGAGATTAGCCCCTTCTTTTCTAGTAGTTTGCATTAGTATGGACTTGGCCTCACAACACCAATTAACTAGTAGTTGCTAAATGGTAGAATAAGGGTTTCGTCTCCAAGAAAAAATGAAAACAATTTATGCTGCAGTGAAGCGCATGCATGAACAAAATGAAGCAAAACAAATAGAATAGAGCAAGCATTGATTTTAGTAAGAACTCATAAACCAACTAATAGCACCCAAATACTTTCAAGTTAGTGTATATATTGTGCCATGAAAATTCATGTGAAAACAGATAGCTTTGACCGATTAGCGCATTGCCATACTACTATGCTCCCAGATAGAGTAGTGACATCCAACAAACTAGCAATAAGATGAAGCTATGAAGGAAAGCCTATGGAATACAACTTCATATATCAATAAACTAATAATAGGCCATCGCTAAGCTGGACGTAGGTTTATTACTCAAAGGAAACACCAAACATGTACAAAAACCTTCTTGAGTCTAATTGGTATCCCCTCAGGAGGGATGGCAAACAAACATGACCTAAATATCAAGTTTCGTATTGCCAAGATTTTCATTAACGACAAAAGGAAAGTAAAGTTTCCGTACCACCTCTATTGCATTCGCTCCTATGTTTTATTGACTACTAATATCCTTGTCGATCGCTATAATGGAATGATTATTTTTAGATTATGGAATATAATTAGGTGGGTTGTGTTGTCCTCATAAGTCCATCTCTATTGTGAATATAATATCTATCTCCATAATGACACCAACGTCTAGAGTTGAGTCCTCCTATCACTGAGAGCAGCAACAATGTAGTTTGATCATGTGTGAGGACAATGGGATGCATGGTCCCTCCAACCAAGGTGATAAGTTATCTACACCGCTAGAGGGCCATAGATTTGGTTGTGGCTTTGTGCACTATGCTCATCATTTTGAGTATCAGTTTTTGCATTTATTTAAATTATGCCAATTTGCAGGATGCAACATTTGCATCCTCTCCACGTGTGTGTTTATAGTTCCAACTTGTTTATTTTGTAGTCATGTACATATTTTTTTACTGTAATTATTATATACAAATTATAAATTTAGGATTTATGACGCATTTCATTCGATGTTGTTGCAAAGCATCAACCCTATACCAATACTGAGGATTACTTGTACCCATATTAGAATGTGATAATGCATTCGATGTTTGTACACGTTGGCAACACAAACATAGCCAAGGGGTCATGCATGTAGTTCTCTTTTTTTTTGTGTCACTTCTTTTT